AATGAAATTTCATTTTATTTCATTGGATTGCACAAAAATTTATTTCATATCATTCCATGAAATTTTATTTTAATTTGTTTTGTTCCATTCCATGAAATTTCTTGTGACCTCCAACACTGTTCCTTGAACAACACCCACACAAATTTCAAGAAAAAGGAACGGTGGAGGAATTCTCCAAAAGTTCTCATCACCAAATCCAGGAGTGACCAAGCCCTCAAGCACTTTCCAGCAGAAATTCAAAGATTTCTCTTAAAAATAAAGGTGATTTTTGTGGGGTTTTTTTTCAATATTTAGTTTTAAAACCAAATTGTTCATGAACAATTTGTGCTTCCTTGTCCTGGATTGTCAAACCCTGTCCCCAGCTCTTCATGGGGTCAGGTTTCAAGGATGCCTCATTTAAAGCATGAAGTTTAAAATCTTTATTTTAAAATTATCTTCAAAACATCTGCAAGTGCCCAGGAACCATAAATAATTCTGAATAAGACTGGGAAATACCTGGAAAATGAGGAATTTTGGGCAAAACCAATTGCTAACAGCATTTCAAACCTTGAGCAGAGTCAGCTCTGTGGAATGGTGAATTTCAGGTGCGTTTTTAGTAATTTTTTTTTACACTGCGTTTTAAGAATCAGCTGCCAATAGAAATCATTTCCTTTTCCATAATTCACAAAGTGGCTAATTTAAAAAGCAAAAATATTATGAATAATTTCAGCCCACGTGCTCACAGGGATCTTGTGATGCAGAGTGAATTTAATTAATTCTTTATTTTTGTAAAACAAACACGTTTCTCAGTGCCAGCCCTGTGTGGGTCTTTTAGGACCTGAAAATCAGATTTGGCTCTGCTCAATTTCAGCTGTTCTGACTGGATGGGTGGGATTAGGAGCAGAAATTTGTTTTTCCAGAGGTAACAGAGCTCAGAGTTCAGCCGGACATCCAAGACAGGGAACATTTTCCAAACCATTTTTTCATAGAATGCTTTTGGACAATTACAAATAAACAATATTAAATTTAATTTAGCAAGTTTGCTGTGGGAACTTGTTACAGATGGAGACCAAATTTGCTTTTTCTGAAGTATAAAAACAATTTTGCCCTTTGCTGAGTGCTTCAAGAAGTCACATGTGGGATCTGACATGACAAGGACAGGGCACAGGAGCAGAGCAGGGAATTCAGGATATCACAGAGGCACCTCAGAGCATCAGGGGAAGGAAACAAAGGGGGGAAATTACCCTGAAAATATTTTGGATTATAAAAGGTTATAAGATTATGAAATTGGTTATAAAACTCAGTTATTTTAAAAATAAATATTAAATATAAAAATATATATTAGTATATTATATCAATTTATAATATTTTTATATAGTATAATATGTAATATATATGATGTATAATGTATTATGTTATCTAATATATATTACATATTACATATTACATATTACATTACATATATAATGTATATATATACATTATATATGTAATATATTGCATATATATTGTAATATATAATAAAAATATTATATCTATTAAACACTAAATATAATTTAATGTATTATATATTATACATTATATGTTATAAGTTATATGTTATATGTTATATATAATAACCATATATTAGACGTAATACAATAGATATTATATTATATTAATTATATTATATTACATTACATTACATTATATTATATATATCATATCATATCATGTTATTAGAAAATAGCTATATAAAACATATAAGTAAAAATGAATGTAATATATGTATAAATAAAAAATATAAGAAAATAAATGAATTAAAATGAAAATAAAAATTAAAAATTTAAAAATTTAATAAACAAATAAAATAAGTAAAAATATTATAGTTCTTTCTAATATATATTATATAATTATACACATAATTTATATATATATATGCATATATTTAAAAAAACAAAATCCTTAGTTATAAAAACTAAGACCTGCTGCCCTTCCACAGATCCAGAAACACCGCCTGGATCCCCTCATGGCTGGGAGGGCTCTGCCTGACCCAGCAGTGACGCCGGCTGGAAAAACTGAAAATTGCAGAAATTTCCTTGCTCGCGGCCTGAGACAGAACTGCAGGAGTCGAGGGCTCCAATTCGCTGTGATTATTTCTGGTTTTTTCTAACATTATAGTAAATATTTGGAATATCCAAGGACTATTTCCATTTCCAAGGCTAAAGCTCCACAGGGCTGTTCCACCCTGTCCCATTTCTGCCAGCATTGAACCTTTCCTGTTGAATTTCTCCCCCAAAATCCCAAAAGCAGCTCAGGATTTTTGTCAGGCAGCAGAAACCACAAGCTCAAATATGTTCTGATACCACACTCCAAGCAGAATTCCCTCTGCAAATTCCAGCCATAAAATAATAAATACTGACTGTGGAATTATGGAAGGGAGGGAGGACAATGATGATTCTACCTCAATCAGGAGAGTTGAAAGATATAAAAAATTATTCTGTGTACACCTGAGCAATTTCCTAATTACAGAATGAGGAACTGAAGTCACAATTTATCCTGACTTCCAGATTTTGCAGCCTTCTGTGGAGTGTTTCCAGATGCTAGATTTATATATATACATATATAAAAAATTAATTTCAGCATATTTCTAGATTTCAGTCTCTGTCCAAAGTATCACCCCTGCCTCCCTGACCAATTCACTGATGCCTGTCCCTATACATTACCTCTCATTTTAAAAACAAAATGTTTTAGTTTTGAACATTTTTAAACAAACACTTTTTTAAACATTTTAAAATTCTGTCCCCTGTAGTTTACCTCACATCCTCCCCCCAAAAAAATGTTCATTCCATCCCTTACAGGTTTTATCGCTCAAACTTTCCTTACCTGTCCCCTAATAACAACCTCAATTTTACCCCCCAAAATATCTCCTATTAATCTCCTCAATTTCACATCAAAGTTTTCATTTTCTCCAGCTCAGATGACTCGGATTTTATCCCCAAAAATGTTCATTTTATCCCCAAAATGTTCATTATATCCCCTAAAATCGGCAATAAACGGGACACCACGCCCACTTGCAGTACCAAGGTTTCGCCACAGGTTGGCAGCACTGATCAAAGAAAGCCACTGCGCATGCGCCGCTTCCCTCTGTTCCATCCCACATTTAATTACGAGTGGAACGGGGATTCGGCTTTTGGGGGGATTTTGGTGGATTTACGGGGTTTTTTGCTCGTTTTTTGTTCGTTTTTTGTTCGGTTCGGAGGGGTTTTGTGGGGTTTTATGGGTTTTTTTTTGGTTGCAGTACCACTGAGTCAAGGGGGGCTGCAGTTCCTCACATTCACCACGTGGTGGCAGCAGCGACTGAAGTAAAGACGTCGTCCCGGACTTATTTTTCTTACTTTTTATTATTTTAATTTATAAATACTGAAGTTATATTTGCCCCTTCAAACCCTACGGTTTATACAGAGATCTTTCTTATGTGCTAAAATCCTGTATATCAGACAGCAGACACGATTTTTGTTTTAAAAACACTTTTTACCTATATTAATTTTGTCAATATGTAAATATATATATGTATGTGTGTGTGTCTGTGTATATGTATATATATATTTATTGATTTTTATTTATATTTTTAAATATTTTAAAATATATATGTATTTGTCAATATATATATAATACATAAATATTATATATTATATATAATTATATCTATAATATCTGTAAATATATATTATATATTATATAATTATTTATATGATATGTACAATTACATCTATTATATTTTATTATGTATATAATTATACCTATGATCTATATAACAGATATAGACATAATTATATTTTCCATACCATTTATATGAGATATATATCATATATATAATTATATATTTCTCAATACATAAAATTTGTATTTTTATATATTTATTTTATAAATATATCTATTTTGTCAATATATAAAATATATATAAATGTATAAAGATGAGGAACTTTAAAAGTTTTTGTATTTACACACACACACTCTCTCCCAGTGAGTTTTCAGGCATTTTTGGGGCTGTAAACTTCTTTTTTTGAACGTCGACCTGCCCCTCTTGATTCTCTACCCATCCTTTCCCTCATGCCACAATGGAGATGGAAGTCAAGACGAAGATGCAAAGAGTAAACAGGAAAAACAACCCAAATATCAATAATTCTATTTACAGTAAAAATTTGTTTACATAAATCCAGCAAAAATATTCCCCCTAGAGAAATCTGGATTTCCTTTTGCAGTCACTGAGCTGGCACAGCTGCAAACTGATGCCATTAAATTTTTATCTCGAAAATACACAGTTACCCTTCAAGGAAGGATTTTAAAGACATTTTAAAATGTCATTTAAATTATTTTTATTTTTAACTTAATAACTAACTACTTATGGCTCTCAATGTGGGCTTTTTAATCTAATTAGACAACACCACTTAAATCTATGAAGAATAAAGACTTGCTTCGGCCTTAAAAATTTTTATTTTTTTTATATATATTACTATATTCTAAGACTTTAAACTTTAGGTTTTCTACTATGTGCTATTACACACTTTTATTTAAACAATGCACTCATAATCTTAGTTCTATCATGTAGTTTGGAAGGTTTCTCTATGGCTTTAAGTTTAATGCAGTGTTCTTTTGGGGGTCAGTGCCTGTCAACACAGAAAGTCTAAAATTCTCAGTAAATAGGGTTCCAATATTTAATAATTTTTTGTCAAAAGGGAATTTTCCAACTTTCCATCCCTTAATCGCTTCTGCATCTCCTGATCCCTCCAGACTCCTTGAAGAGCCACAAATTTCCGATCCTAGATGTCCAAAATTCCATCTCCCTTTAGTTTTAATTGAGGCTCGCGGGGTTAATTTTGTCAAAATTAACGTTTGGCTGATAGGATGGTGAAAGTAAAAACAATTAAACCAGTGCTGGGTGCGCTGGGAAGGTCTCAAAATGAGATTTTTGGGAAATAGAGCGATCCCGGTTCTCCCGAGCATCCCAAATTGGGGATTGCGGGAAGCGCTCCCTGCGCATGCGCGGAGGCCCCGCCCGGCCGGAATCCACCCGGGATTTACCCGGGATTCACCCGGGATTTGGGCCAGGAGCGGGAAAACGGCCCCGCCCAGGTGGGTCCGAGCCCGGATGGCGGCAATCCCACGGGAACAGCCCCGGGAGGAGCCGGGATCGGGAAGCGCCGGCGGCGGCGGCCCCGGGCAGGGCCCGGTCCGGCCGCGGACACGGCAGCGGGGAAGGAGCCTCGGCCCCGAGTCCCTCAGGGAAAATCAATCCCAGATCCCTCAGGGAAATTCCGTCCTGAATTCCTTCAGGGAAATTGCATCCCAAATCCCTCAGGGAAATTCCGTCCCAAATCCTTCAGGCAAATTCGGTCCCCAAATCCCTCAGGGAAAATCCGTCCCAAATTCCTCAGGGAAATTCCATCACAAATTCCTCAAGGAAATTCGGTCCCTCAGGGAAATCCCACCCCAAATCCCTCAGGGAAAATCCAGCCCCAATCTCTCAGGAAAGTTTGGTCCCAAATCCCTCAGGAAAATTTGGTCCCAAACCCATCAGGGAAATTCCATCCCAAATTCCTCAGGGAAATTCTGTTCCAAATCCCTCAGGGAAATTCTGTCCCAAATTCCTCAGGAAAATTCTGCCTCAAATTCCCCAGGGGAATTCTGTCCTGAATTCCTCAGGGAAATTCGGTCCTGAATTCCTTAAGGAATTCTGTGCCAATTCCTTAAGGGAAATTCCATCCCAAATCCTTCAGGCAAATTCAGTCCCCAAATTCCTCAGGGAAATTCCATCACAAATTCCTCAAAGAAATTTGGTCCTGAATTCCTTCAGGGAAATTCGGTCCCTCAGGGAAATCCCATCCCAATTCCCTCAGGGAAAATCCAGCCCCAATCTCTCAGGAAAGTTTGGTCCCAAATCCCGCAGGAAAATTCCACCCTAAATCCCTCAGGGAAATTCTGTCCCAAATCCCTCAGGGAAATATGTCCCAAATTCCTCGGGGAAATATGTCCCAAATTCCTTGGGGAAATTCTGTCCCAAATCTCTCAGGGAAAATCCACCCCAGATCCCTCAGGGAAATTCAGTCCTGGATTCCTCAGGGAAATATGCCCCAAATCCCTCAGGGAAATTCGGTCCTGAATCCCTTGGGAAATTCCACCCCAAATCCGTCAGGGAAATTCTATCCCAAATTCTCAGGGAAATTTGGTCCCAAATTCCTCAGGGAAATTCTGTCCCAAATCCCTTAGGGAAATTCTGCCCCAAATCCCTCAGGGAAACCCTTGTGAGGGTATTTGGGAGCTGGGAAGTGAAAAACATCACCCTCCCGTGGGAGTTGCTCCGTGGGAAGTTAATAATTAGTGCTCATTTCCTCTGTAAATGCAATTAAGGCATCCAAGGGCAGCAGCCTCGGGCGCTGTTGGTGTGGAGCAAACTTGAATGAAAGTGTGGGGGAAAACCCAGTTCAGGGATGAAAGGTGCACCTTACAAAACAGAGACCAGGCAGAGGAGTTTATTCCTGGTTTTGCTTTAATTGCAACACCAAAATGCTCCATCAAGGCCCCAGGCTGGGGGCAAAAGCTGGACCTGGTGCTTCCCTCTCCATCCATCCTTCCCACAGTGTCCAGTGCAGGGAGGAGTGGATGGCAGCAAGGAGAAATGTGTCTGGGAAACACAGGATGGGGTGTGAGGGAGCCCAGCAGAGCTGCTGGTTTACTCTGACACTCCCTGGGGACTTGGCCACCCTTCAGGCACACACGGCTGTCCTAATCCCAGTACAGACCAGTACAGGTGTCCTAATCCCAGTACAGGTGTCCTAATCCCAGTACAGGTGTCCTAATCCCAGTACAGCCCAGTACAGGTGTCCTAATCCCAGTACAGGTGTCCTAATCCCAGTACAGCCCAGTACAGGTGTCCTAATCCCAGTACAGCTCTCCTAATCCCAGTACAGACCAGTACAGGTGTCTCAGTACCTGTAGAGGCCAGTACAGCTTCCTGACCCCTGTAAAGCTTTCCCAAGACCAGTACAGCCCAGTACAGGTGTCCTAATCCCAGTACAACCCAGTACAGGTGCCCTAATCCCATTACAGGTGTCCTAATCCCAGTGCAGCCCAGTAGAAGTGTCCTAATCCCAGTACAGCCCAGTACAGGTGTCATAATCCCAGTGCATCCCAGTACAGGTGTCCTAATCCCAGTACAACCCAATACAGGTATCCTAATCGCAGTACAGCCCAGTACAGGTGTCTAATCCCAGTACAGGAATCCCAATCCCAGTACAGGTGTCCCAATCCCTGTCTAGCTTTCCCAATTTCTGTACAGCCTGGTACAGGTGTTCCAATCCCAGTACAACCCAGTACAGGTGCCCTAATCCCAGTTCAACCCAGTATAGGTGTCCTAATCCCAGTACAGGTGTTCCAACCCCAGTACAGCCTGGTACAGGTGTACCAATCCCAGTATAGCCCAGTACAGGTGTCCCAATCCCTGTCCAAATGTTCCAGTCCCAGTACAGCTGTCCCTGTCAAACTTTCCCAATCCCAGTACAGCCCAGTACAACAGTCCCTGTTCCTGTCCAGTTGTCCCAATCCCTGTACAGCCCAGTACAGCTTTCCCAGTCCCTGTCCAGCTTTTCTAATCCCAGTACAGCTGTCCTAATCCCAATACAGCCCAGTGGTGGTGTCCCTATCCCTGTCCAGTTGTCCCAATCCCAGTACAACCCAGTACAACTTTCCCAGTCCCTGTCAAGCTTTCCCAATCCCAGTACAGCCCAGTACAGCTGTCCCTGTCCCTGTCCACCTGTCCCAATCCCAGTACAGCCCAGTACAGTTTTCCCAATCCCAGTACAGCCCAGTACATCTCTCCCAGTCCCAGTCCATCCCAGCAGAGCTCTCCCAGTCCCTGCAGAGACCTCAACAGCCAGAGCCACCTCAGCACACCCTGCTGTTCCAGGTGGGACATGCCACAGGATTTCCTGTGGGACAAATCCTGCCTTCCCTTGCTCCCAGGATCCAGCCAGCACTGAGGGAGTGTTGCTGCCTAAAGCTTTAACAAAACAACCCCAAAACAGTACAGGAATACGAAAATGTCACAGTAAGACTGAAACTTTACACTCTGAGGTCACATCAGGGTAGAAGAGTTGAGGTTGTAGGAGCCATGGAGGACAATTCCAGCCCTGGGTGTATCCCAGGATTTTCCCTGCAGCCTCAGTGGTGATTCCCTGCCTGCAGCACGCCCTGCCCATGGATGATGCAGGTTTTTATCCTGCTCATGAATGATGCAGGTTTTTATCCTGCCCATGGATGATGCAGGTTTTTATCCTGCTCATGAATGATGCAGGTTTTTATCCTGCCCATGGATGATGCAGGTTTTTATCCTGCTGATGAATGATGCAGGTTTTTATCCTGCCCATGGATTATTCAGGTTTTTACCCTGCCCATGGATTATGCAGGTTTTTATCCTGGCCATGGATGATGCAGGTTTTTATCCTGCCCATGGATGATGCAGGTTTTTATCCTGCCCATGGATGATGCAGGTTTTTATCCTGCTCATGAATGATGCAGGTTTTTATCTTGCCCATGGATTATTCAGGTTTTTATCCTGCCCATGGATGATGCAGGTTTTTATCCTGCCCATGGATTATTCAGGTTTTTACCCTGCCCATGAATGATGCAGGTTTTATCCTGGCCATGAATGATGCAGATTTTTATCCTGCCCGTGGATGATTCAGGTTTTTATCCTGCCCATGGATGATGCAGGTTTTTATCCTGCCCATGGATGATTCAGGTTTTTATCCTGCCCATGGATGATGCAGGTTTTTATCCTTCCCATGGATTATTCAGGTTTTTATCCTGGCCATGAATGATGCAGATTTTTATCCTGCCCGTGGATGATTCAGGTTTTTATCCTGCCCATGGATGATGCAGGTTTTTATCCTTCCCATGGATGATTCAGGTTTTTATCCTGCCCATGAATGATGCAGGTTTTATCCTGGCCATGAATGATGCAGGTTTTTACCCTGCCCATGGATGATGCAGGTTTTTATCCTACCCATGGATGATTCAGGTTTTTATGCTGCCCATGGATGATGCAGGTTTTTATCCTGCCCATGATGGATGCAGGTTTTATCCTGGCCATGAATGATGCAGATTTTTATCCTGCCCGTGGATGATGCAGGTTTTTACCCTGCCCATGGATGATGCAGGTTTTTACCCTGCCCATGGATTATTCAGGTTTTTATCCTGCCCATGGATTATGCAGGTTTTTACCCTGCCCATGGATGATGCAGGTTTTTCTGGGTTACAGGGTGTGCGTTGACAAGGTGTCATCCTGGATTCCTAATCAAGATGCCAGGGAAGATGGAGCAGCTGCCCCATGAGGATTTGTTATCCTGTCCATAATCTGATCACTGAGTTATTACAGTTCCTAGAAATTGAATTCTGGCAATTCCAGCCTGTCACTCAAGCACCCTCATAGCCCAGCTCTCCTGGTGGGGTTTGAGGTGGCTCCTTTTCCACAAAATTCCACCTGGGAATTCTGCAGCAGTTTGTCCTTGCTCTGCTGCTCTCTTAAGATTTCATTCTCATTTTTAGTGATTCAGGATTTAAAAATGACTTTTTTCTAAACTCCTACAGTGTTATAGTTCCTCTTCTTTTGAGAAAAAAAAACAAGAACCTCTAAAGGTTATAATGAGTGATTTTAACACTAATATGAAGTGACAATTCTTGCAAAGGCTTGATGATTTTATGTCAATAAAAGCACAAGCCTAAAGCCATTTATTTATGATTGATTATAGCACTGATGAATAGAGTAACACATAATATCTTCTGGAATAATTTTGTTTTCAATAGATTGATTTTCTGAGAACTCTTTATTCTTCTGTTCATGCTGACCTTTTTAAATAAATACCTTCCTTTCTAGGCTAGGTGGAAAAAACTGTTCACACCAGACGCCACCCACACTGCACAGCCAGTTTATTCTTTAGTAAACCCTCATTTATGCAGCCTGATTTCTTTTCCACATGAGAATATTCCTGTTTCTCAGGGATTTGAAGCTAACTCTGAAAATGGCACCTTTTAGAACCAATCATCCTCAATCCTCTTTAACCAGTGGCTTTGGTGCTACCTGGATATTATTTAATAATTTTTTTTTTTTTATAACAAACCAAGCACATAGGATGATGCACAACTGCAGAATGTCCTCAGCAGTCACAAATCACTCACTATAAAGAAATTTCCTTTCTGCCTCTTTCTAGTTCTGCACAATTTGTGTCTCCTTGCATTGAGCAAAATGCACATCACCAGCCCTGACACCTGGAGAGTTCTGCTTTATTGAGCAATAACTTCATGTCAAACCAGCTGCCAGAGCTCAGAGTTTACCCAATTCTCATGGAATTGTGGAGGATCCCTTGGGATGGGCTCTGTCAGTCCACCCAATGCCTAAATGAAAATGTCATTTTACCACAGAATTTTTTTTACCACAGAATTTCTCCAGCCTCTCTAGACCTATAAAAGAGGTCAAATATTATCAAATATTGTAGAGAGATGCATTTAAATATTGCTAAGCAGACATTAATTAAGACACCACAATTATGAAGAAATGAAATTTAGTGGTAAGGACCTGATGAGGGATTTGTCTTAACAAAACCACTTTAAAATAAGCATAGTCCTTAATCATCCACCATTAAGCATCTTCCTCAGTGCCACATCCACACAGATTTTAAATACAGAGCTCTAAGTCAGTAAGAACAAATATTGTTCTCATTTAGGGCTCTGCACAGGAATAAATGTAGATGGAGAATGAGCAGCAGCTCTGCAGTAATAGTTTGGAAATACAAATAAGTAGAGAGCCAAGAATGAGAGAATTCATTCAAAATTAGGAAAACTCTCTCTGCTTCAGCATCAAAACTAATTTTTCTCTTCAAACCAATGCTAAGGCCCAGCTCTTGTGGATTTCTGACAGGATGGGTTTTGTTTCCTTGTTTGAGGAAGCTCTGGGGGCCTGCAGGGTTCAGTAGCACTGAAACCTCATCAGAAAAAATTCAGACAGACAAGCCCATTTTCAGATTCAGTGAAATAATTGAGTAAACTCTGCTGGAAATTGAAAAGCTTCAGGAGAGACACTGATTGAAGTGATATCTGGCAGTTTTGCATTTGACAATCAAGTTATACCAGAGGACGAATCAAAACAAGATACCTCCATGATCTATATCTGTATTTATAACATTTTCATCAGCTCTGAAATGTTAATCCCAGTTTTGAAATTCAGGCTGTGATCACTCTTGTTTTGCCTGCACTGACAGGCGTCCTAAGGAATCCTAGAAATTCAGATATTTTATTTTTTTCTGATGATTCTTCAGCCAGATAAAAACTCATTTCTTGCTCTTCCCAAGCCTTACAGAAATTCTTACTCCAAAGTGCTGGAGGCTCTAGGAAATGCAGTATCTTGTCTCCTTGGAGACCATAAAAGAGCTGTTTGTGAGAGCAGAACACACCCCACAAATGACAGGCCAGAGCCCAACTGTGTAAATCCTTCCAAAAACTTTTACTAATTCTGCTGGGAACAAAACTGTGGGGAGAAAAAAATTATCCCAGTTCATAACAAGATGTGTGCAGTTATACCAACACTTATAAGTTTTGAAGAATTTCCTGTATTTTTACAAACAGACTGAATGATTTGCATGGATTTAGTGAAGAGAGGATTTTTAGAAAGGCTTTGTGCTCATGAAGTAAAAAAGAAAAATTTTAACAGAAATATTCTCTTGTGCTTAAGGTTGAAGGGAGATGGAGTGGGGAACAAAAATCAAATTCAAGATCTGTGGAGGAGCTCATCCCAGGTGTTTGACACTCTGAAGGACAAAAGTTGGTTCTTCACACCCACACAGTAAAAATAAATAAAAAGAACAAAAATATTAATTTTACCTAAAAAAGTCACAAAGTAAAATTCATGGATGTGCAGGATTTTCTTGCTGCATCCTGCTGGCCTCTTTGGCTTTTCCAGCTCCTTGTCTCGTGCTGCTGGGGGTGGAGGAACAGGGACTGATCTCCCCAGGGTTTGGGTGTAACCTCCTGTCCAGAATTTGGATTTAGATATTTGTTAGTTTTTATTTCTATTACAATTTTACAAATTGTGTTTTATAGTACTTTATGTTAACAAATTAAAAATGGAGCTGTATTTGTATTCCATAAGGTTTTTTAAGGAGAAACTGCTTAATTAAGAAATGACACTTAAATAATTTTTACTTTTGACTTAATAACTACTTGTGGTTTGTAATGTGGATTTTTAAAATCTAATTACACAGTATTGTTTCAATTCATGAAGAAGAAGAGGAAGAAGAAGGTGAAGAGGAAGGACTAGGTTTTTTTCTAAAACTTCTATTTTGTTTTATATATGTATATTATATTTTAAGATTTTAAACTTCAGGTTTTTTACTATGTGAAGTGGATTGAGAGGTTCACTGGAGGAACATCTACAGGTTTTGTGCTGTGTGCTTTGCACTTATGATCACTGAATCTGTGTGTAAGAAGGGACTTGTACATTAATTATAGTTCAAATAGACTAAACTTGGCTTTCTCCCTTGAAAGCTGAATGGGAATTTTATGTATTTTTTTTTAATGTATCAAGACTATCCTAAAGATATTTCCAAAGAGAGCAGCAGTAGGTGGGATTCCCACCACCCAGTTTTGGTCTGAGAGTGAGAAAAGGAAACAAAAATTCAACTTTGTAATAAAATTGCTTGTGATGGGGGGGGAGAGAAATTGCAATAACTTAAGTATCTGAAGTGATATTTTATGCTTTTATTTGAATTACATGCTAAAAATTTTAATTTTTAACTTAATATCTAACTACTTGTGGCTTGCAATGTGAACTTTTTTATCTAATTACACAATACTACTTAAATCTATGAAGAAGGATCAGCTTCTGCCTTAAAATTTTTATTTTGAAATATAAATATATTCTAATGTTATATTGTAATATAATATTCTAATATAATATTCTAATATTACATTCTAATATTAGAATATGAACTTTTTATCTAATTACACAATACTACTTAAATCTATGAAGATTTGCAATGTGAATTTTTTTATCTAATTACACAATATATTTAAATCTATGAAGAAGGATCAGCTTCTGCCTTAAAATTTTTATTTTGAAATATATATATTCTAATGTTATATTCTAATGTTATATTCTAATATAATATTCTAATATTACATTCTAATATATTATATTATATTATATTATATTATATTATATTATTCTAAACCTTTAAACTTCAGGTTTTCAACCATGTTATATTACACGCTTTTATTTAAACTATACACTCATCATTTCAGTTCTCTCATTTAATTTTGGAAGCTTTCTCTGTGGCTTCAGGTCAAATGCAGTGTTCTCTTGGGGGTCAGTGTTGTTAGCACAGAAAGTCTGAAATTCTCAGCGATTTTATCAGATTTCTAAGAGAGAGCCTCACTCATTGCTGTTCTTTATTGATTTCTCCCATTCAGCTGCATCACCGTGCCCACAACAGCCACGTGCAGAAGCCATGAATTCCAGAAAATTCCCCTCAGAAGCACGGAGAGCTTTCCCTGCTGCCAAGCCCCCCAGCCAGCAGCCATCCCACGTCCTGGTGGTGGATGCCACCTGCCCTGGCTGGGCCAGCACCTGCCCCGTGCTCGCCGAGGCTCTGGAGAACGTCCTGTGCCTGGCCTGCGGCCTGGCAGGGCCCTGCAGGGTGCCCCTGCTCAGCCTCTACGTGGTGCAGCCCCAGCAGGAGTGTCTGCTGCCCTTCACGGTATGCTGCTGCTCAGGGGGAAAAAATAATTAATTCTTTATCTCTAAATTGATATCTAAAAATCTGTATAGAAATTCACATCTTAAACATCGGCCGTTCTCGGAACGATCGCTTCGCCGTGAGGTGAATTTCATGAAATTTTATACATTTCATAAAGTTGAAAAGGAGGAGGGTCATTTTTGATCTGTCGACTTGATCAATTAAGTTTTGTGCTCTTCCTTCCAAAAACATCTGGTTTGGAGCATCTGTTGCACCTTTTGTGTGCTGCTTTGTGCTGCGCTGCTTCTCTGTCAGAATTATCACACACAGCTCGAGCTGGACAAATATTACCAATGTGTGAGAGGTTCTAGATATTGAAGAGGAAAGGTACAGAATTTAAAAAAAAAATAAAAAAAAAAAAATATATATATATATCTGTGCTGAATATATTACCAATGTGTGAGAGGTTCTAGATATTGAAGGGGAAATGTGCAGAATTTAAAAAAAAATTTAAAAAAATATATATATATCTGTGCTGAATATATTACCAGTAAGTGAGAGGTTCTAGATATTGAAGGGGAAAGGTACAGAATTAAAAAAAAAAATAAAATATATATATCTATATATCTATGCTGAATATATTACCAGTATGTGAAAGGTTCTAGATATTGAAGGGGAAAGGTACAGAATGTAAAAAAAATAAAATATATATATCTATATATCTATGCTGAATATATTACCAGTATGTAAGAGGTTCTAGATATTGAAGGGGAAATGTGCAAAATTTAAAAAAAATTTTAAAAAAATATATATACCTGTGCTGAATATATTGCCAGTAAGTAAGAAGTTCTAGATATTGAAGGGGAAAAGGGGCAGAATAAAAAAAACATTATATATATATTATTATATTTATAAATATAATGTAATATAATGTATTGTAATGTAATGTAATATAATATAATATAATATAATAATATAATTATATCCAATCTGTGCTGAATATATTACCAGTATGTGAGAGGTTCTAGACATTGAAATGGAAAGGGGCATAATATTTATTTATTTATTTATTTATTTATATCTGTTCTGAATATCTATCTAAATAAATTAATTTATATATATATATAAAATATATATATAAAAATATATAAAATATACATATATGTATAATATATCTGTGCTGAATTTGAGAAACTCCCAGATGATTCTGTGATTTCAAGAAAAGTCCTCTAAGACTAAATCCAATTCTAAACCCAGCACTGCCAAATCCACCACTTATCCATGTTCCTAAGTGCCACAATCACACAGATTTTAAATACAGAGATCTAAGAACAAACATTGCTCTCATTTAGGGCTCTGCACAGGAATAAATGTAGATGGAGAGTGAGCAGCAGCTCTGCAGTAATAGTTTGGGAATACAAATATGCATCTTAAAGTTCACAAGAGTTTTTGAAGTCATCCTGTTAGAAATAATCACACTGAGCACTGCCATTTACACAGCATCAGTGTAAACACACAGGATTGACCCTTCCATTTTATGGTGGAAACATTCTGAAGACTTTTGTCAAGTCTTCACATCTTGAGGAAAATAAAAAGCCAGAGGTCAAGAGTAAATTAGCAAATGTGACCTGCAAGAGGACTCTGGCTAATGGTGGTGTTTGTTTGGCAGGAAAGGTTATAGATAATGTGACAAGGATAATCTTGTGACTGCTGCTCCTATCAGCTGTCTTTTTTATTTAAACAACAATTCCTCATTTTGATAGTCACAGTTTTTAAAGGCAGAGGAGCCCTTAGATCACTGTTTTGTATGTTCACATCACAGATTATTATATTTCCCTAAAGTACCCCTGTTTCATTAAAACTTCCTTCCAGAAAGCCATCTAGTTTTGATCTGAAGACAAGATGGGTAATCAAGTACTTCTCTTGAGAATTTCATCCAGTGGTTAATAACTGTCATTGTGAAACCTGTACCTGGTTCCTAATTTGCATTTATTTGCTTTATCCTCCAGGGATTTCTTAATATTGAAGAGCATGCTTGTATTTTATCCTTTCTTCCTCTAAATAGGAGTAGGTCCCTTCTCTGTTCTGGCTGGTAAATCAAAAACAAATTATAAGTTTAACTGCAAAACATTTTTACAATGATTTTAATAATTTCCAAGCCATTCTTTGTATTCACTCTGCTGATTTTTGGGTGCTACATTCCAAGAGCAGACATCAGCTGCTGTACTGAAGCTGTTTCTCAGAGCTGTGTTAGACAAATCATGAAGTCAGGAAAGCCCCAGAACTGAAAATAGAGATGGGGAGAGTACATGGGGAAGTGTCACACACACTTACCCTGGGTTTAACCTTTCCTCTGTGCTTGTTTCTGGTCTCTGTTCCCACTGTAGCAGAGTCCATAAAGCCTCCCTGGAAAGGGCAGGGAGGGCAAAGAAAGAGAAGCCAGAATGAAAGTGCATAACTGGGGAAGAATAAATGGTGGCAAGATAAGAAATCAGCATTGAAGCATCAAAAAATTGAATGTGGCACTGAGTAAGGACTGAGCAGAGCCTTTGCAGCTTCCCACTCAGTCCCACTGACAGCCCACCCTGCAAACCAGGGCTCAGGGCTGCTTCAGTGACCCAGAGCTCCTCACACCTGAAGCAAAATGAGTCAAATGTTCACCTGCTGCCTCTTCAGTGGGGAAGGTGACCTCTGGCAGCAGTGTCTTGTACTGCTTTAAATAAATTTGGTAGAATTCACTTTCTGTGAATCTTTCCTGTGGCCACATTGCACCAGTTTAGCTGATGGGTTCTTGGTGAGGCTCAGGTGAGCTGACTTCTCTGTGACCACCAGCCTTCCTCCACATTACACAGAGGTATTTCATGTTGTTTTATTATTTATAGAGGTATTTTATGTTGTTTTATTTTATGTTTATTTTTATGTTGTTGCAACATTTTATGTTGTTGACACCAGGTGTCTTGGTTTGAAAAGCCAGGTGTTTGCTAAGGAAGGCAGGGGCCTCCCTTGAAATGGAAAAATGTAAACCCCTTCCCTCTGAATTATTATAATTTTGAAATTAAGGGGCTCTCAGGCAAAGATACGGGAGCAGGAATACTAGTTCTTTATTAGGGAAAAAATAAAAGTAAAATAAAAATGCAGTGATACAAAACAACACTGCCAGAGTCAGACCATGCCCTGCCCCCTGTGTGTCAGGGGGTGTCCCAGCCCCATCCCATGGGGGCTCAGCCCTCCTGCAGTGCCAGCTGTGGCTCTGCTGCAGCAGGGATCCTGCACAAGGGGGGAGTTTTCCTCTGCAGCTCCAGGGCTGCTGCAGATGGGCCTGGGCTCCCTCTGGCACTGCAGGGCAGCAGAAAGCTGCTCCTCTGGGAATGCAGGGGGCAAAGGCTGCTGGGGTGTCCCAAAGCTCAGATTGGATCCAGGTAGGAATGCTTGGCTCCTCCCCTGGGCGGAGCATCTCCCCATGGGATGATGGAATTGGATCAGCCATGCAGGGACACTCACTGGCCATGAACAGAAGATAATTAATAATTAATGGCCTATTAACAGAAAATATCTCCTGGAGGGAGGATTGGCTGTGGAACAGATACAGAAAACTGCCCAATGAACGGAAGATAACAGATGGTGACCCCATCCTTTCCTGCCCCCTGAACCCTGTTTTGCAGCAAGTGAAAGAAAACTTTGCCCGAGTTCAAGCCTGCATTTCTGAGCTCCGCTCACTGCCAGCTGAAGGCTGCTTCCCCCAGGGGGTGAATGGAGTGCTGCAGGCTGTGCAGGATGGATTGCAGCAGTTCAAGCAGTACAGCAGGCACACAGCAGCAGGAGGCTCCACAAATAGTTCTATTGAGGTAAGAAAATGCTGGGAGGGGAGTGGGAACCATCCCACATCATTGAGATTTATAAATGTGTATTTAATGTGCAGTGAACATGCAGAAAAATTTAGGTATTCAGCACTCTGGATGTTACAGAGATCCACAGACATCCTGAAGGAAGATATCAAGTCTTCAAATCCCTCTGGACAGATTCCTGTGGAAAAGGGGACACATCTAGGAAAAGCTGCCCTGGTCCAGGATCTGATAGGTTTTGGTGGACACACTTTTGGTGGATTTTGGTGGCTGTGTTTTCAGCTCTGAATGTGTGATTTTGGATAAAGGGGAGGGAAGCTGCCAATAACACATGAGAACAGATGTGTGAATGCAGAAAGCAGAGCAAGGTTCACAGGAGGAAGTATTTTTTTAAATAGCAACTGACATGAAAGGACAAAGAGTTATGGAGGGGAAAGGACTCACACAGGAATGGTGTTTTCCTCTGGACAACCAGCTCCAAACAATCCTGCATTTCAGACTGCCCAGGCTCAGGGTCCTCCTGCCAGTCATAAAAAACAAATTGAAATTGAAATTGAAATTGAAATTTGCCAAGTTTTTCTGCTTTGCTTAGGTCTTTAAACCCTTCCAGAATCTCACAGAGTCACTCTGTGATCAGGCTGCAATTGAGACTCGCTCCCAGTGTCTGCCCAGGAAACTTTTCTGCCTTTCTTGGGGCTTTAAGGTATTTTTCCTGATCATTTGAAAGGTGATTTGTGCTTTAAAGCTGGGAGTTGGAACAAACAGAACATGCTTTGGACACAAGACATTTTTTGACACACAACAAAATCCAGGACATTTTCTAGTACACTTAAAGGAACAAGCTACATTAAAAATTCAGTTAACCCATAGATACAGGGAGTTTTTACTCCCCTAAGCAGTCCTTCTAGATTATGCAATTATTCTTCTAGTTCTTCTAGATTATGCAATTTTATTGTACTTCTCTTTGCAAGGGGATGTAAGAAATGCTGCAGGGACAGGCTCTGCTCACTGACAGGCAGGAGGGAGTTTTACCCTAACAAAAGGCCAAAAAAAAGTTTCAAAAAAGGCCTCTTTCTGCTCCAGATACTTAAGTGATTGCAATTTCTCTTCTCTCCCCATCACAAGCATTTTTTTATGCAGAGTCAGTTAAAGTTTTGTTTCCTTTTCTCAATATCAGGCGAAAATTTGGTAGTGGGAATCCCACCTACTGCTGCTCTCTTTGGAAATATCTTTAGGATAGACTGGATACATTAAAAAAAAAAATTGGAATTCCCATTCAGCTTTCAAGGGAGAAGGCCAAGTTTAATCTATTTGAACTATAATTAATGTACAATTCCCTTCTTACACACAGAAACTCAGTGATCACAAGAGCAAAGCACAGAGCACAAAACCAGTGAACCTCTCAATCCATTTCATATTGGCTTAAATGTGAGCCAAAGCTTAAAAAAAATGCTTATAAATCTTCTTTTGATATTTCAGCAAGATTTCTCCTCTCTCATAAATGAGACCAGTGCTACCCAACATCTTCACCTCCCAAGAGAGAATTGGGGCAGAGGCAGCTTCTTCAAGCTCTGATTTGTGTTTCAGATCACAATTCTGACCAGCCAGCCCAGCAGAGACATGGTAAAGCAGCTGGAAAAGAAGTTACAAGACATAGACCTGGTGAGCCTGAGAAGAATACAGGTCATTGAGGTGGTGAAGAGAGATTTCCTGCAGCCTGAGGATGTGGAGCAGTGTGTGCCAGCAGAGGAGCCCAGCAGTGGTGAGTGGAGGGCATTTTTAGGGAAGTTATGGCTTTGGGCAGCACGACAATCCAATATCTGCCACTTCCTTTGGCCCATTTAATGTCCCTTGGGTCAGTGGGGACTGCTGTGGCTGGAGGAAATTTGTACCACAGCTTGTAGAACTTACAGAGCTCCTGCATTGTTGGAGTCCTGGATGCTGAGAATTTTAGATTTTCTGTGCTGACAGGCTCTGACCCCCAGGAGAACACTGAATTTAACCTGAGGGCATAGAGAAAGCTTCCAAAATTAAATTATAGAACTGTGATTGTTCTATTGTGGGTGTGGAGTTTGAACAGAAATGTGTAATATCACAGGGTGGGAAACTTAGAGTTTAAGGGTTTAGAATATATCAATAAATATAAAGCAAGATGGAAGTTTTAAGGTGGACACTGGTTCTTCTTCACCTTCTTCTCCATGGGTTTGGATGGTTTTGTGTCATTGGACAAAAAAGTCCACATTGAGGACTTTAAGTGATTAGTTATTGGGTTAAAAGTGAAAATATTTTAGATGTCATTTCTTAGCCTTAAAAGACCTTGTAGAGCAAGATATGGGGCCATTTTGTGCCTTGTTAGTGAAATGCTGCAGAACTCACTGCTGTGAGACTGTAACACAGATAAGAAATAATAAACATCTGAGTCTGAACATGAAATAGTCTCTCAAGTGCTTCCATCCCAACCTTGACAGAGAAAAGAAGCCAAGAACTGGCAGTGTGTTCCTTCAGCTCTTGGTGTTATTTAAAATTCATGTGTGACACAGCTTCACTGTGGGGGTTAAAGGGAAAAAGGCATCGAGTTTTGGGGGTAACACCTCTGAGCATGGAGGAAAGCAGCAGCAGGAGGCAGGAACTGCATCAAAGACAAAAAAACAGCTAATGAAGAGGCTTGGTCAGTGACAGTAACTCTTCCCAGCAAAGTGCAGCCTGGGAGAGAGGACTATGTGGGGATTTTTGAAGTTCTGAATGAGTTAGAGACAGGATTTCTGAGCTTTTTAGATGGTGTGGTTTATTTTTGTTATCTTCTACATAGGCAGGAAGGATGAGTTCAGCTCACATCCTTACAGCAAGGTTTAGAAGGCCATAAGACCTTTAATCACAACATTTTTTAAGGACTTATTGACTAATAAAACACTGCACTAATAAAGGATATTTATGGTTTTGACCCAATCCTTAAATATTTTATCTTATAAACCCATGCTACAGTGTAAGTTTTCTCAGCTAATCATTTATGACACACAAACTCACAGTACTGCATTCTAATTTCTTTGTTTTCCTTTGTGGCTACTTTAATTTTTTCTATATCTTAAACTCTAAAACTCTCAACTTTCTTTTGCTTAGCTTAACATGTCTTTGCTTTAAACTATAAATCTACATTATTGCTCCTAGCACTTAAGTTTGGAAGCCTTTTCTAAAGTCTCAGATCAAATCTTGTGTTTAATTCTAAGCTTGGAAGCCTTTTCTAAAGTCTCAGATCAAATCTTGTGTTTAATTCTAAGCTTTGGCTTACAGCCCCAAAATTCTGACAATTCTTTGTATTTCAGATTCCAGCAGGATTAAAAGGGTTATTTCTGGTTTTTACTGAGGGGCACACAGAGTTATTTGTTTTTTGCTGTTTATGTTCTTTCATGGTTGCAGCAAATTTCTGTTCAGTTGTCCCAGCAGGGGCTGGGAATCCTGCAGGGAAGCCTTGGAAGCCCCAGCTCACAGAGGAGGAGATGCTTTGTGCCTCTCTGTCTCAGGGCTGCTTCAGGGAATGCAAAACCCCACCCAAATTATTTCTAAATGTGCATTTTTGAGTAGCCCTTTCATCCAGTAAATGGAATAAAAATATAAATGTGGACATAAAGGCCACTGAAATGTCAAGGGATGAAATTCTCATTTTCTGAGTGGATGAACTATTTGCTCTCTAAGGAAAGCAGCAGGGGAAGAATAAGTCAGATAATTGGGAAGATGAGCCCAACTGGTTTATGACACCCATTGGAGCTCCCTCCTTCTGTTTCAGAAAAATAAAAATCCATTCTCCTGTTAAAAAATTACAGTAAACAGCATTGAATTTGCAAGATCCAGTGTACAGGAAGGGCAGGATTGGTGCTGTGTTGAATTAGAAAATAAATATTGTGATGCAGCACTTCATCAAGAGCTTCATTTCACTGAGGATATTTCTTCCATTAGTTTATTTAGGGGTTATTTGAACCTACTCACATTTTTAATGTCCAGAGCAGATCAGGATATCCCCTCCACAGGCTCATTCCCAGGTCAGTGCAGCTGGAAGAGGCTTCAGGAGTTTGAAAACCTCACATGGGCAAATCTTAGAGCAGCTTTGAACATGCTGAGGTCTCAGAGTCAGAGCAAAGTGATTTAACTGAACCCCATAGAGAGCAGGACATTTGAGGTGGGAAAAATCTGGGGAAATAATCAAGAGGATGCCTGGCCTTTGCATGGACTGGTCTCTAATTGATAATGATAATGATAATAATAACCACTATTATCATTATTATTAATAATTTATTATCTATATTACAATTCTGTTGGATTATAATAATATTTTCATTGTATTATATATTACAAATAGTTATACTATTATTATAATTATATAATATTAATTTTATACAATCAATATGTTATTATTATTATTATCATCATTATCATCATCACCACTATTATGATTATCATTAATAATTTATTATATATCAAAATAATATTGCATTATAATGGTGTTATTATATAATAAATATAATTGTGATATTATTATAATGATATAATATTAATTTTATACAATCAATATAAGTATTATAATCATAATAATAACCACTATTATCATTCTTATTAATAATTTATTATCTATATTACAATTAGATTATATTATAGATTATAAATATAATTAGACTATTATTATAATGATATCATATTAATTGTATACAATTAATATATTATCATAATTATCATAATCATAATTATTATTAATAATTTATTATATATTGCAATTATATTATATTATATTACATTATATTATATTGTAATTATGTAATATATTATCAAGAGAATTATACTATTTTCATAATCAGATAATATTAATTTTATACAATCTATATATTATTATTATTACTATTACTATAATTCTTATTCATAATAATAAATAATTAGATACAATAATGTATTATAATAATGTCATAATTATATTGTATTGTGAAATTATTATTATTATTATTATTATTATTATTATTATTATTATTATTATTGCTGCTGTTATTATTTCTCTTCCCCTGCCCATTCCACTCCCTGAGAGCAGCTGAGCCTTGCCAGACCCTTTGCTAACAAAGGTGAATATTTGCATGTGCTGGAGATAACAGCTCCCTGCTCTTTCTCTTTGATAAAAACAAACAACCAGTCCTGCAGATAAAGCAGTAATACCTTTTTTATGACCCCAGCCCATGTTTTGTAATCCCAGGGCTCCTTTCTCCACCCAGCTCTGCTCTCCAGGAACTTTGGGACCCCTGCACAGGAGATTTTGGCACCCCTACCTGCTTTTCCTAATGAATGCAGTGAATTTCTTTTTAAATTGTCATGTCTTGTGCAACTGCAGATGTGTAAGTGATTAAATATCTATTACAGAGAAAAAAATTAAGAAAATAAAACCAGGAAAATATTTACTGAGGGAGGAACTAAAGCATGTACCAGCCCCAAAACACAAATATTTCCCTTTGTCAGCTGTGTTTTGCTGTTTGTAAAAGTTAATTACATGGATTTCCTGGTGCTTTGTCTTTTGAGCTGTTAATGCCCTCTTCAGTGCACATCCCTGAGAGAATCCCAAGTCTAAAATCTGTAGGGAATGCACCCAAAACAGGATCATCCTGCAGCAGTGAATTCTGCAGGGAAATGGGAACAACACTCAGGTCAAGGGGTTGGAGGTGGGAACAGCTCAGTTCATGAAGAGCAGCTTCCAACTTAAAAAAATAAAGAACAAAAAAAAAAAGAAGTAAAGAATTAAAAAAAATTAAAATTATTAAATATCCTGGCAGCCAGGGACATTCAGAGAGGACAAGGAAAGGTTTTTAGTAGCAAGGGCAGTGTGGAAGATCTCCTGTTGTGCGTGGGAGCTGAGTCTGCTTTGCTGCAGACAAACAACCATCATAATCTCTGCCTCAAGGCTGGGAGGTGGGGACAGTCAGAAAGTGTGGGGACAGTCAGAAAGTGTGTCCTGCAGAGCATCTGAAGAATTACAGCCATTACAGGAGTCCTGGATTATTTACCAGCTAGAAATTATTTCATTTCTGGGGATTTTTTTGGGGTTTGGGGGTTTTTTTACTGCCTAAGTGGCATTTTTGCCAAATGGCATTAGAAATGAAAAGATTTCTCAGTGTAGAAGTATTGATTTTTAATCCCCTTGCTGGCCTGGTAAGCACAAGGGGTGGAAAAATGCTATTTCTGCTATTTATTCCTCTTCTGAGAAAGCCTTTCCACATCCTGGCTATGGTGAAGCTATTAGTGCTACCACGCTGCACCTTCTGGGTTTACCAGTGGTTATATTGTACCTCTTATGCAATTTGCAATTGGATTTTTTTTTCCTTCCCTTTATTTTATTTATCCCATTTTATTTTTATCTGATGGACTTCAAGTAGCTTCTCATGTGGATGCACCTTTGAGATAATATTTGTGGGTGGTTTGGGGTTTTTTTTGAGTTTATCTTGTTTACATCCTGCCTAACTCTGCTGTCCAGCCGACATTTCTCCACGCTTAAAAGTTGTTGCTACGTCAAACCACATTTGTCTGCACCTCCAACAAAGGAGTTTAACAATTGGAATTGAAATATTGGTGCTTTTTCACCTATTTTTTTCTTTTTTCCTGCAGATATGGCAATCCTGGGAATGGACATCGAGGTGCAAACTGTAGAGGACAATGTCATCAGCCTGGAGATGCTGTTCAAAACCTGGCTCCATGACCATGGCACAGAGAGGGAACAGCTCCATCTCCTCCTTCCCTCAGGAGCTTTTGGCCACGCTGCTGCACCCAAGAACACCTTAAGTATTTCATTTTCTCTCCCTTCTGCTCCCCTTCAAGGAGTTCCTGAATCCCTCAGCCTTAAAAGTTACCCAGGATTGTGCTATGGGCACCTTCCCTCCCATTTAGAGACCCAGGTGAGGTCTGTGGATAATTTGGAAAATCATCAAGCTTACAAAGCTGCTTTTTGCTGCCTCAGCTGCTGAGGCTGCAGTTGTTTCCATGTGCCTGGAGGGCAAAGTGAATTTACAGCCACGTGGGCAAGGTAAAAAGGAGCCTTGAGAGCTGAATAGCCCTAAAAATTGTGTTCAAAACAGAGTCTGTGCCAGAGCTGCACTTAAATAAAGGCTCTTACACAGAGCTCCGCTTAAATAAAGGCTGTGTTGCCCCTATAAAGGGACTTGGGGACAGGTTGATGCCTTGTGCCAGGCTTTAGTATTTTCCTTCCCCCAATAGTTGCTAGAAAACATTTATTTTTAAATGCTTTGAGCATGTCATGTGCTAAACATTGCCCATCCCAGCGACCTAACCCATTCTCCTTTCCCAGTGTGCCTGAAGTGTGATTTGCAGGAGAGGCTGCTGGACCCAGCCCTGCTTTTGGGGACATCTGATGGCCCTGGGAGAGCAGCAGATGCCACCTGTCCCTGGCATGTGACAGCCTGGCCCTCCCCAGCTCTGCACAAACTCCGGGTGCTGAAGTGAGTGGTGCTCCTTGTCTTCCACTGGGGGAAAAGCTTCACTTTCCTGGGGCCTGCTGACATCACCAGGAGGCTTTGGGGTGCTGGTGAGCCAAATTCTGCTGTGAAAAACCCTCAGTTCCATCACTCTTCCCCTCATGGAACAGCACAGCCCACGTGCAGACCACAGTCACACCTGGGGTCACCACAGCACTCTAAGGGTTACACCACAGATGCCATTGCTGCTAAAGTTCTTTCACCCCAGTGAAATGTTTAATTGCAATAATTCTGCTCTCTCATCACCTAATGAGGCCTCAGCAATTAATTGGATGTCAGAAACTAAGCAAAGCCTCACAGTGCTGTGATTTCACCCAAGAATTCACTTTCCTGGCAGCAGTTCAGGGCAGAGCACAGAGATGCTCTCCAGTGTCTTTATAAGAAAAAACAGGATAATTTTTCATGGAACAGCACAGCCCACGTGCAGACCACAGTCACATCTGGGGTCACCACAGCACTCTAAGGGTTACACCACAGATGCCATTGCTGCTAAAGTTCTTTCACCCCAGTGAAATGTTTAATTGCAATAATTCTCCTCTCTCATCACCTAATGAGCCCACAGCAATTAATTGGATATCAGAAACTAAGCAAAGCCTCACAGTGCTGTGATTTCACCAAGAATTCACTTTCCTGGCAGCAGTTCAGGGCACAGAGATGCTCTCCAGTGTCTTTATAGGAAAACCAGGATAATTTCTAAGCTGTTCTTACAATGCTGAGCACTACCATGAGCTGTGTCCTGGCAGGGCTCTGAAGTCTGAAGGGGTCTGTGAGTCTGTGCTCTATGGGCTGCCCTTCATCATCAAGCCCACAAGCTGCTGGCAGCTGGACTGGGATGAACTGGAGACAAACCAGCACAGCTTCCATGCTTTGTGTCACAGCCTCCTGGTGAGTGTGTGAAAATGGAACTGTGATGGGGAGGGATGGCCAGGGAAGGCAACAGTGAGTGCACACCTTATAACATCTGTCTGGAAACATTTTAAAAGCTCCAACATCATCCCATGGGCCAGAGTTGGGCTTGTATATCTGCTGGGAAGATGCTACAGCTCATCAGAGCTTAGGGAAGACCCTCAAACCTACCAGAAATGAGTGTTTAGAGGTGTGAAGTGCAAATGCCAGGGTAGGAGTTAGATTTGAGACTTTAACAGCAAAAATAATTTACCAAGGCTTTGACTGTGGAGAACTGGCTGTTACTGACAAGCTGCAAACCAAAATTGAGTGTTTTTAAGAACTGACTTGCTAAAAAAAAAAACTTAAATGCCATATTGTCCTCAGCCCTGCTGCAGAATAGTTTCCCTTCCTATGTGTGAGTGTGCCTGCCCTGAGCCCACGGTGGCAGTGCTGAAGGAAGTGGCTGTTGCTGTTGCTGTTGCTGTTGTTCACACCTGGATTTTACCCTCTAGAAAAGGAAGTGGATGCTCTTGGCCAGGCAGGAGCCCCAGAACACGGGACCAAACTGGAACATGGTGGTGCACTCCTATTATGTCATTGTCCCCTCTGACTCTGCCACTCTCCTGGTGAAAGCAGTGGCCATCAGAGAGCTCCTGCTGCCATCAGCCTTCCCAGCCCTCCTGGCTGAGCACCCCGAGCGAGTCAGGGGCCCCATCGAGGTGAGTCACTCATTATCAGCTCTCCTTATCACCTCTGCAGATAACGAGAGAAGGAAATGGCTGTGACAATGTCTAGTGACACTGTGTGATGCTGCACTCCAGAACTCCTTCCCAGCACACAGCTTTCTCCATGGACAGCAAATGCCTGTCCTTGGGAGCAATGTTGGTGTTTGCTGGGGGGGAAGAGGCCTTGTGAAGCAGAATTAGGGGTGACAGTGCCCAGAAAGGGAGTTCCAGCTTGTTGGATCCTGGGCATGGGAAATAATAGGACTTCATCCTGCAAGAAGATGTTTAAATCCATTAAGATCTGTCTGGAGATGCCTCTTGTTCTATACACAGTTAAGAGTGCTCCTTATGGTTTGCAGCACAGCCAAAAATCCCTTCACCTTTCACTGCAGGGTGGGTGGTTTGGAGTGTCTACAACCCTGTCCCCGAAAAAGAAACCAAAAAAACCACAAACGTGCAAACCCCACAGCTTCCACCTGTCACATCCTGTAGCAAACTCAAGCTCTCTCTTCCAAGCAGAGTACCTTGAACAACTTGGAAGTGGAAGTTGCTTACAACCCCTTGCACCTGAAGAGCAACCTGTACAAATACCTGAAGAGCTCCTTGTACAAACCTCCCCACCGGCAGCAGCCCCAGCCCAGGGAGCAGCGCCCGGAGCGCCACCAGCCCAGGCAGGTGAGTCCCGTGTGTGAGCAGCCTGGAGGGGCTCTGATGTCCCCTCCTGGCCACATTCCAGCAGATTGTGCCCTGCTGGCCAGATTCCTGCAGGAATTCCAGCAAGATGAGGCACAGCCAGCACCTCTCCCCACAAGGATTTGTGTTTTGTCCCTGTCTTGCAGCCTCAGAGCAGAGCCAAAGCTGCAGTGGCTCCCCTGCTGATGGCTCCCTCTCCACTTCAGACATTCAGACCGGCAGCAGCAGCAGCCAGGAGAGGGTCCTGTGAGGGCTCCCTGCTGCCCAAGGAGTATGAGGAGTTCCTGCAGTGAGCACAGGAGCTGCCCCTGGGCAGCCACAGCTCCTGGCTCAGCAGCTGGCCGGATGTGGTCAGGCAAGACACCGAGCTTGGCCTTGGGCAGGCAGGCACTTCCCATCGTTTGTTCCTCCTTGTTGTTGTTTCACGTTGTGTTCGTCACCCAGCCAGTTCTGCAGGAAGTTTGCTGCTCAGGGACCCTCTGTCCAGAGCTCCAGCTGTCCCCTGCAGCAGCAGCAGCACCAGCACCACGTATTTCCTGCTCTTGCCAGCACACGTCACCAGCCTGCCTCCAATTTGGGTTTGTGAGACTGGGCCAGCACAGGCCACAAATCACAGAGTGCTGTCAGTGGGAGCAGAGGAGCTGCAGGCAGGGCAGGGAGGAAATCAGACAAGGCAGGCAGTCATGCTGAGCTGCCCTCACCCCACAGCAGCAGGTTCAGTGGGGAGGTTAAACAGGAATGAAACAGTGCTTGGATTTAATCTTAAAGCCTGGAGTTCTGCTCTCCAGATGATTTGGTTGCTTTCAAGACTGGCCTTGCTGTCCAACCCCCCAGCTCATAAAGGGGGTTGGAGCAAATGCCAAGCCAGAGCAATTGCAGAGAATTCCTGCCCAGATGCCAGCCTGTTTTTCAGTGCAGAGCAGGTGTGAGCCAGGGGCAGCTTGACCAATCCAAGCACCAGCAGAGTTTGTGTTCTACTTACCTGGTTCTGAAAAGCTGTTCCAAAATAAAGTTCTCCTCCATGGACCCCACTCTCTGCCTGTGGTTTCTGACATGTCCAGCACTGCTCTCCCACCACTGACCTGTGCTTCCTGGGAAACAGCTGCAGGAGAGCAAGGGCATGGGGCAAGCACCACAATCCCATCTCTTCTCCCTGGGATCCCAGCTCTGACAGGCCCAGGGCTGGCTCTTCCCATGCCCTGGCATCTCATCAGGCAGCTGCTGGGGCAAGACATCAAGGGCAGGTACCATGGAAGAGAGAGCAGACACCCCTGCAGGCACAGGGATGGTTGGGAGCAGGAATGAACACACAAAATGGCCCAGCCTGGGGCCTGCAAACCAGTCAACAACATAAAAATTAGAAAATCAGGTTTAGGGAGGAGGCAGCAGGGAGGCAACAAAGTTTTTGGAACTACCTCCGATTTCCCAAAACCCAACAGACTTTTCCCCTTCTCCTGCAGCAAAACCCCAGTGGAGAAGAGGACCCAGCAGAGGGAACAGCCACAAATTGGTCCTGGCCACAGCTGAGCTGTGGTTTTACAGCACTGAGGCATCCCCCTGCAACCTGGGCTCCAGATAAAGAGTTCATTACTTCATCACCTCATCACCAGCCTGGGGACCTGAACCTGCAGATTTCCCCAGTTTGGCTGAGCTGGGGCTGCAGAAGCTGAGCTTAGCCCTCTCACAGGTGTAGCACAGTGCTGCCTGTCACCTGCCTGTTCTTTAGATACCAACAGGCTGCCAGACCTGCAGAAGTCACCAGCAGATGTGGGGACAGCCAATGCCAGCGTGCCTGGTGTGGTCCCACACAGAAAGCACAACCTGTATTGACCCTGGGTTTGCTCCTGGCCAAGGCTGGCCACACAGAAATGCCACAAACCACACAGATTTGGCATCACAGATTTGGCCATTAAACCAAATGGGATCCAGGCTGGGCCCTTCCAGGCCTCCCAAAGCAGCTGGGAGTGGGGGGGGATCAGCAGTGGGATCAGCTGGAGAAGGAGATCCTGTGACTCACCAAGAGCCACAGAGCTGCAGCAGAGCTGGCACTGTCCCTGCCCAGCCCTGTGCCTGGAGGCCATCACATATCTGAGCCTGACTCTCATTTCCCTTCATCCCCTGCCATCAGGGCATCCAGCCACAGCTCAGCCTGGCAGGCACTTTTCTTTGAGCTCAGGAGCTCTGGCACAGGCACAAACGTGCACCTGCACCTCCCCATCCATGCCACAGGCAAACGTGTCCTTCTGAGACATAAAGACTTTAATATTAAAATAACTTTGTATAAAAATACTTTTGGAGACTGATGGCAAGCAGCCTTCCACACACCACAAAAGGCACCAGAGCCCTGCAGCCTGGTCAGACAGGAAGCCAGAGCAGAGCCAGAGCAGCAGGTACAGGAAAACACCAACCCTCCTGCAGATCAGAAGGCACAGTGGAGCCAGCTCCAGAGCTGGAGAAACACACTGGGGCTTGCTCCAGCTACAGCTCTCTTGCTGTTTCCCTCCAGAAAAACACAGTCCCTCAGCACTGGTGAGAAAAGAGCCCAAACAGTCCCAGGTCATCCTGGGGAGGAGAAGCCCAGCTGGCACTGGGATGCCCAGTCCCTGCTGGGATACAGACAGAGCAGCAGCACTTATATCTCCCCTAAATCCTCATAGAGAGGCGACAAACTGTACTCATCCACACACTGCTCCTTCTTCTGCAGCTGCTGGGGCTTCACCACCTGGCTGTAGAGCACCTCCACGTTGTTGTTGTTGCTGCTGTTGAGGCTGGGTTTGGTCAGCACCTTCTCGGGGGCAGCGCTGCCCCATCGCCTGCCAGGCTCCTCCAGCCTTTCTGCCCCTTTGGGGATAAAGGCTGCCTGGGGCTTGGGGGCTGGCACTGGCTTGGGGTTCTTGGCCTTGGCAGGGAAGTTGGGGACCGAGTAATCGTCAGTGCTGGGGTTGTAGGGGTACTCATAGCCCCCCCTGCCATCGTGGCCCTGCGTGCGCCAGGCCTCGCTCGTGGGCCGCGCCTCGTCGTAGATGTAGGTGAAGGGATGCAGCGAGCGGGGGGCACGGCCCTCGGGCTCGTCATAGATGTGCTCCTTGTGCCCAGGGGCAGCCTGGCCATGGCCCTCAGCCCTGCCCTGGCCCTCAGCCCTGCCCTGGCCCTGCCCCTCGGCCCGGACCTGCTCGTACGGGCCTGAGTATGGCAGCACCGGCAGCCGCGGCTTCGGCTCCTCCACGGCCCCGCCGGGCGCCTTGGCCACGCTCAGGGCCTTGCTGTCCACAGGGTCCGAGTACAGCGGGTCTGGCCACAGCTGCAGGCCCTTCACCGAGTCCAGGGGCTCTGAGTACACGCTGGAAGGGTCCTCAGAGGGTGGCACAGCACGGAGCACCTTGGGCAGAGGGGAGCGTGGAGGGGTGCTGGATACCGTGGGCTTGGCCGGTGGCACGGGCAGCTCTGGCAGAGTCCGGCTCTTCAGCAGGGCTGTGGCATCTCTCTCCTCTGCTGCTGCACCAGCCCTGGGTGCCAGCCCTGCTTTGGGGTCATCCACCTCAGCAGGCAGCTCCAGGTTGAGGCTGTCAGCCAGGGCCTGGCGGATCTGCACCATGCCGGGGCTCTCGGCTTCCAGCGAGTCACAGCTCTGCCGGTTCTCCTCCACCTGAGCCTTCTGCTCCTGGATGGAGGCTTCCACCAGCCGGAAGATCTCGTTGCCCTGCTTGGTCTCAAAGGTGAAGTTGCCAGGTCCTGAGTCACAGCGCCTGCCAGCCTCGAAGGAGAACATCACCTGGAGGGGAAGCAGAAGGGGCACGTCCTGCTCAGCACCCAAAGCTGTGCTTGCCACCAAAGGGCGTGTGGCTGCAGCACTGATCCTGCACGCCCTGAAATCCTGCTCTGAAATCCTGCCCTGAAATCCTGCTCCTTCCACTTCTACAGCAAGGGCCAGAGCAGCTGGGCAGGGACAGGCCACACTACAAGCTGTAGAGCTGGAGCACACCTAAGGGGACATCACTGTGAGTGCCCCAGAGCTGCAGCACCTGCTGGAGCCCTGCTGCCTTACCCGAGCAGTTTCCAGCAGTTTCTACCACTGGCACCAGATGGTCTAGGAAACAACACTGAGGCAGGAGTAGGGTGAGAAGGTGACAGTTCAGCAGGGGAAACTAGTATGGAATCTTAGGAAAGAAGGGAGTGCTCTGGAAGCAAGAGAAACACAAGGAAGAACACAGCTTTCCACAGGAGAAAGCTCAGCAGCAGCTCAGTTACCAAGAGTTAGCAAAGCATTGACCTACCAGCATTAATCTGTTCATGGTAAAAGGTCCTTTAAAGAGAAGTCTTGCACCAGGGCTCTGCTTCCTCTGGCCTGAACACTCTCTGGTGAGCAGGTTCCCACCAGCTGACGCCCACACCCTTCCTGAGCCTCGGGATTTTCTGCCTCTCTCACAGGCAGCAGCAGCTCCTGTGGTTGCCACAAAGCTCTCTGGGGACAAACTCCTTTTTATGGGTCAGTGCTGCTGAACAGAAGCACAATCAGACCCTCTCTGCTCAGGTCACTGTGGGTGCAGCTCCCCCACACCCTGCAACTCTCCTCCTGTCCCCAGCACAGCTCTGCAGATGAGCTGGACACCCCCACAAGGGCAGCTCGGTTTCTACCCATGCTTTGGGAATGTGCTGCACCATAAGCAGAGTGTGGCCAACATGGTCCCTGCTATAAAGAGCCACAGGACACCACTGAACAACCCCTGGACATCACTGAAGAACCTCTGGACACCACTGAACAGCCCCCCCTGGACACCACTTCTCCCTGTCCAGCATGGCCCTTGCACCCAGGGTGGCAGCAAGGCAGATTGGGGACTCACTGCAAGAAGACTCTGGAGAGGGTGAGACCTTCAAAGGTCAGTGAGAATAGGAGCAGTTCCCCCCACAGAGTGAACAAATCCAGAGCAACTGGTGTCCCAAAGCCCCTCTGCTCCGGCCACCATGCTTAGGAGGGAGGGACTGAACCCAGGGCAGAGACAGGACTGTCAGGAGCAGTTCCTGGAGCCTGGGGACAGCGTATGTGCAGCACTAAGGGACGTCCCTGCTCCTGCCACAAGCTGGGAATTGCTGGGATGGAGAAGGAGAGCAGTGGGACAGCCACAGAGGGGACGAGTGTCCCACCATCCCACGCTCCAGCACGGTGACACAGGCAGGACCTGGGGACAGCCAGGGCCACCAGGGGCTGCAGCAATGCTGGCTGCAGGACATCAGCCCAGCCTTGCACAGGGGAGCAGCTGCAGCACAGCACAGTGGGGTCCCCCCTTGCCCACCT